TCTTCCTTCCTTCCTTCCTTCCTTCCTTCCTTCCTTCCTTCCTTCCTCCCTCCTTCCTTCTCATCCCTGAGGTCTCACAGGGATTTCGAGGAAGAAAGGAATAGAGTTAACAGTCTGCATGGCACGATAGGAGGGGGATTGGATTTGTAGTAAGAGGATCCATCTTCCATCCCAGCGTTGTCACATCCCACTGCCTGTATGACCTTGAGCCTGGTGACTGGTTAGTTCATATAACTTCAAATAAATCCATGATCCTATATCTCTCTCCAGTACTTCATAAAGTACTTGTTTACTTAAAAAACAACCAACCAACCAAACAAGCAAACAAAGCAACAAACAAAAAAAACCCAACTAGCATCCTCCAAGTGATCTCAAGACTTTGGGGAGATATTAAGTGTAGTTCTTCTTTACAAAGAGGTTGGCGGGTTATCTTAGACATTGTGCTTCTCTGGAAAATACCAATAAATGATTGAAAAGAAGGGGAACCATTTGAAACCATAGAAACCTCAACATCCTGGAAATTCATTCTACCCCTGGGCTACTCACATTGATAGTACCTACCCTATACCCCTATAGCCTCTTTTTCTGATTGGCTAGTTCGTCTCACAACCTCCATTCTAAGGAGGATGCCCAGGCCAGCCATGTCTTCATTCCTCTCTAGGCATTACTGTGGACTTTGTCTACTATGCTACTGTGTGAGCACCTTTTTAGTTTCTTTTTATGTGTTGTCTTCTACCATTAAAATGTAAGTACTTCAAGGCTAGGTACTGTTTCTTCCTTCTTGTATTTGTATCCCTGATGCTCAGCACAATGCCTAGCACATCATAGATGCTTAATAAATGCTTCTTGACCTGACTTGATGGAATCCTAATTTATGTACAAGTGTGACTTCTTTTAAGCATATTTATAGTGCTTTGTCCTGAATAGATATTTAATTTAAAGATTGTTGAGTGAACGGAATAAAAAAAGAGAAGCCTAATGAAGCTAACTTAATAGCACAGATCCAATATAGGAATTTCTGCATTTATACAC